GGGAGGAAAAAATTAGCATCGAAAAAAAAAAAATTCCTAGGGAAGTCGCATTTTAACCACATTTGTATATCCATCTGCTGTGTTAACTAATGCGCACATTTCATCTTAATTAATATATTTATCTCATTAAATGTTGATTGTATGCATCACTTGTCACATGTGATGGTACACCTATTTGGGTTAATATTTGAATATTGGGCTTAGCATAAAGGAAGCCCAAAGGTGCCAAACAAGTTGAACTTGCCCAAAGCCCAGCAATGAAGCCTGAAACAATTGAAGCCTTCTTAACAAGGCATAGGCTAAATGTCTATGATAAAAGTGACAAGTGACAGAGACCAGCTCACTACCAACCAAAAAGCACTTTCTGATGGCATCAAGGTGTAAAAACAAGATGACTCATTGCCTCTGAGAGCCCTAAGCCAAGAACAAAGCCAAAACCGTCGGGCCAAACTGCTTTTAAAAGGACAAAGAGACAACAGGGACAAGGACACTCAACCAATTAAACAAACAACATACAAACTCTACTCTCAAACCAGATTTGCACCCACAAAGCTGAAACTCACCAGATTCAGTCTTTTTAGCAATAGTTCCCTTAGAAAAGCTATCTTTTGTCTAGTGTAAAAGGTCTACTACCTTCCATAGTGTTGTAGTATCGATTCCCTTATGTAAAACCTATTTACCATCCATCCCTTTTAGCTTACAACCTCTATAAACTCAAAGAGAAGTGGCTGCAAGAAGTTTGACCTTGCCCCGACAAGGTGAAATCTTGCCCGAGTCTCTTTGTTCTTCCTTTAAATTAGTAGATCGATTGCTTAAATGTACTTTGCAGCATATATTTAAGTTATTTCCAACTGTTTTCTACTTAAGAGTCTCATTTGCACTCGGATTTGGTTAACTTAATAAGTTTGTCTTCATTTAGAACAAACTGTGTTTGAAGAAATGGTCTAAAAAGCCCTGAACTCCCTCATTTTTTAAACATATAAGACTATAGACTAAAAGTCCTTGTTTACAAGGCAAGAAAAATAACTTAATACAGACTTAACCCATCTGTGATAATCCTTTGATAACAAGAAGTTTGAGTAACTTAGGGCGCAAGTAATCGACTTAAATTACTTGCATTACATCTGTTATACTGAGATAACAGTGGCATGCCAATATCCTTGTTAGCCTTGATTGCGGACCTCAAGGCCTATACCTAAGGCCCCACAAAGACACCTCTTAAGCTAACTGCTAACTTATTTTGCAGCACACCAGCAGGAGCAAGCCTAACAACATGCCAAGTGCCATTCACCCATGGGGAGCTGTGCAAAGGGACAATTCCATCTTTACCTTGAACAACACCAATGTGATATAAATATGTAGCAAAAATAAAAATAAAAATCTCATATACTGACCAGGTTGTGCACAACTTCACGTCTTTAATACTAAATAATATGTTGGCACTCTAAAATGCCCAATGAGAATTTTCCTACCAAGTGTCCACCGAAGTCATTTCGTGTGATGACCCATCCCTAATTTTCTATGTAATTTCTTCCCAAGTATATGAATTGACATTTATGCCCTTGTTGGCAAGTGACGTGGATGTGTTTATTTGTTCTTAAATTATTTTTCTTGCTATTGTAATTAAATAGTACTCGTTGATACGATCACGTGAGCGTGAGTTAGACCCGAATTGGATTTGTAATGAAAAAGTTATGTTACGTTAAAATACGTTATTGATGGGTAAAATTGTACACGAGCACGTGTTAATTTACTAGTGTTAGAAACATTGTTTTGGATAGATTGCATTTGATTTCCCTGTACAAATCATATCCTTTCTTTTCTTTAAAACCAGACCCATGCCTTAAACCTTACCACCAATTATTTTGTTTCCCTTATTATAGCAACCAATCAGCTTTTCTCCCCCATCTTTCTCTCCCTAATTAGAAATCATTTCTTCTCTCTCTCTCTCTCTCCTCGCTCGAGCTCCCTCACCCCTGCAACCACCATGAACTCACACCAAACCTTGTAGATCAACTCTATAAACCACACCATCACACTCCTCTCGTCACCACGAACTCAACGATACCCTTAGATCACACGTTGGTTGAGTTTTGAGTGGTCAACGCAGAGCAACTCGGAAGCTCTGACTTGATCGAGTTGGTATCATCATGATCCCGGTTGAGTTAAGAAATTTTGGGACATGGGGAAGCTTCCTTACAACTCCCGAGGCTCCTAGGACAAGTTTGAAGAAGAAACAACCTCGAAAGCACACGAGTTCGAGGAGCAAAGTTTTGGCTGAACCTATCAAGCTATTTTCAGGCTAGTTGCCGTCCACTTTTGGACTTTAGGAAGGTATAACGTTGTTCTACTCCTTATAAGCTTCAAATCCATATAAATTTTGTGAAAAATGGTTGGGAAATGAGTAAGATATAAAGGTTAGAAAATTTTCCAAAAACCGGCGAGTTTTCCAATTTCCGACGAAACCAGACGACGGCGGACGATGATCTCACCGGAGAAGACAAGGAATATTCTGTCAAAGTTGACAGAATATTCTAACAGTATCAGGTAACCCCGTTATCGTCTGTTACTATTTAACAGAATATTCTGTCAAATCTGACGGAATATTCCTCTGTTCCGTCACTCATCTGCTGTGCACGTAGCCGCATGTGTGGCCATGGGTTGGGCAGCACGTGAGGGTGTGTCTGGCCTCCGGCCAGTGAGTGGTTGACACGTACAGGTTTGTGACTTCAAGTAGAACATTTTTGTATTTCAAACCTTCCATTTGAGCAAATTATGGGGAGTTTTTCCTAACTTTTATGTATATGTGTTATTTAGTTAATTTTTATTAGTTGTTTCGCATATAGGGGAGACTTACCTTGATGACGTACATGGACAAGTGAGACTAGGGGGCTACGATCCTACGACATACCAATGAGTGGGCACTTTGTTTTCATATATTTATATATAGTATAGTTTCCATAAATGCTTTTAAAATGAATTTATGCATATTATGCAACAAGTTATTTATTTGAAAAAAATATTGTTTGTGGTTGAGTTTTATATTAACATGGCATTTCATATGCATTTTACCTGCTCATAAATATTATATGTTGTGAACTACTAAAGTAATTCTATGGGATATGCATGTAAGTTCAGGTGAGTTTATTGTGTTGTTTGGAATAATTGTGTTGTGGCATGCTCATATTCATATAGTGGCTCATCATTGCTACACCCCAGGTGTTAGTGCTCAGCCTAGGCTAGACTAGTCCTTCACGTGTCGTTCACATTAGCACCTGCACGCTCACCTTGGATCCAAGTAGGTGCTAGCCCTGTCGTACATATTGCAATAGGCAATTCCGACTCGTATGTGACAGCGAATAGCGCTAGCCTTCATGTGATTGTAGCACTAGAGCGTATATTATTACATCTAGCCCTGTTGTATAGATCACATTAGGTGACTCCGACTTAGCGTGCTAGTAAAGATTATTGAGCACATGATTATATTTATATTGCCGTTGAGATATTCTGCTGTGGCATATTCCTAAATTTATTGTTGGCATGCATTTGATTTCATACTTATACTTAGTATGATTTTCGGAAACTATACTTGTTTTATAGCGAGAGGTTAGTATGTTCAGAAAACAAATGGATTTTATAAATCTTTATTTTTGTGCCCACTCACCCTTCTGTGAAGTTTCGCCCCTTCAGGTCCTAGATAGCTGACCTACTCTGTCGCACTCGAGAATTACCCGATGATTCTGACATATCTCCATTCTAACGTAGGAACTTCTCTCTAGTTGTGTAATAAGTACTTCTCTCGTTTGACTGCTTTACCCTTATATTATCTATGCTTTGAATATTTGTAGTTTTTGGGTTGTAACCACTGCTGTGCACTCATCTTATTAGTTAATTAAGTTCTAGTTTCGATTTTAATTTATTCACATTTTTCTTACATCACTTGCACTTTTGGTTACGTCACCTTCACGTGACAGCTAGTACGTCTTGATTCCGGTCGAGGCGTGTCATTTTGTGGGGTAAATGTTTTAGCTGACAAAAAAAAAAAAAATACTTAGTTGGTCAAGTCATTTTTTATTTTTATTTTTTGTAGTGAGAGTTAAGCACGCACCCCTCTTGTAAAGAAAATTTTCATTTTCCATCCATAATGAACAGACACGAAAAATATTTCTCATAAATTCATTCTACTAACAAACGAAACAATTGCCTTGGAGTTTTTTTAGCAAAGGATATTATCTACACTAAGAGGTGGAAGAGAGCATTAAGCCTCATAATGGGCTAGTAATAATGTGGTTCAAATTTGTATTAAGCGAGAATCAAACCTAAGACTTTTCACTTACAAGTGAAGAGGAATACCACTAGACTGTACTACTAAGTGGCAATTGCCTTAGAATTAACAGTGGCAAATGGAGTGAGTGATTTCTGCATTGTCTTTTCACTTGTTGCATTTCATTTTTTTCTTCTTCTAGCCATTACAAAATTAAATTGAAGAAATGAATAGAGAAAAACAACTAAATTAACTCGCGAATGGTAGAAAGTCAAAACGAAAGTGCGGAAGAAACACTTGCTCGTAAACATTTGGCCGACATCAAACATGAGAGATTTTAGTGTGCCGGAACACCATTAAATGTCATAGTATAAGTATTTTTTTTTTATCAAATGATAGATTTGTCAGATTAGACATTAGATCAGGGAGTCGATCAAGTTGGAACCCAGACTATGAACAACACTCCTCTCCACCACTGTGATAGAGGATCACTTACTCATAGTATAGGTATTAAAAGAAAATTTAATCACTTGCATTATGATACTTGGTTTCAATACACTAGAAAAAAGATAATACTTGGGTACTCACAAAGGAGTACCCAAATTACTAACCAAATGACATGGATCAATAAGAATTTAACACGTGTAATTTTTTTTTTCAAAAAAGAACCAAACATCTTTCACGCTTAGAAGCCCAAAGGTTAACGGCGTCTTCTCCCAATGATGTAGGACTTCAATCGTCCTTATCCCTCCCACTCACACTACCTCTCTCTCTCTCATTCTCGCTCAGACCACCACCCATCTAGAGCAGCGACGGTGAACTCTGAACAATAACGACGACGACCATCCACCCAGGCACCTATCCAGAGGATCCATTCTCTGTTGTATTAGATGGTATGTTTTCAGTTTTGTATAATTTGAATTTGTGTTTGAAATTTTGGATGGTTGTTTTTCTTGACAAAGTTTGTGGCTTTGGGTTTGAAAATTACAATATTTGTATTGAGCGGGCTCTGTTTTGTCCCATATTGAAATGCAACAGAATAAAAGCAAATGAATAATGGAGAGAATATTTGAGATGCAACAAAATAAAAGCAAATGAATGATGGAGAGCATATTTCATGTCTCTGTTATTAATGTTATGTTGCAGGTTATGGAGTACAAAGAACCTACAAGATTAGATAGTGAGTCATTACCTAGTGATGAAGATGATTTACAAGGTGCAATTTCTTCACCTACTTGTCAATCTCAAAGCCATGATGGTTCTTTGGGACCTCCTCATCTGAATAAAAGCAAAGAAATAATGGGAGATCTAGAACTTGGAATGGAGTGTAGTTCTAAAGAGAGCGCATACGATTATTACTACAACTATGCTAGAGATAAGGGTTTTGACGTGATGACGCATCATTGGAAAAAAAAAATTGCGAGTATTGTAACAAGAGTAACTCACACTCGTTCAAGACAAGGTTTTCGAAGAAATGATGAGCCAGTTGAAGGTACAACTTATGCTCAACCAGTTTCAAGGGTCAGTTATCAAGCCCACATGACTTGCCTTCTTAAAAAGAATGGAAAATTTAAGATTGTTTCCTTTGATGCAGATCATAATCATGCTTTGGTTCAAACCCCTATGAAGCACATGTTGAAGATTAATCGTAAGATGTCCTGAGCTCAAAAGACCTATGCCGATGATGCAAATAAGTCAGGAATACTAATAAAGCAACTATAGAATTGATGAGCAGAGAAGTTGGTGCGCGAGAGAATTTTGCGTTTCTTGATAAAGATTATCGAAATTATATATATCAAAAGCGATAGACAACACGGAAAAAGGAGATGCTAGGGCTATATTGCAATATTTTCATAAAATGCAAGTGAATGACTTGTCTAGTTTTTACTCGGTCTAGCTTGATGAAGATGATATGATCACAAATATGTTTTGGGCAGATTCACGTTCAATAAGTTATTATGGTCTCCTTAGAGATGTCATTTGTTTTGACACAACGTATCGGACAAATAAGTATGGTAGACCATTTACACCAATTCTTGGTGTTAATCATCATAAACAAATTGTAGTTTTTAGTGCAGCTTTTTTATATGAAGAAAGTGTGGATTCTTTTACATGGCCATTTAAGACCTTCTTAGAAGCAATGCTTGGGAAGCAACCAAATACCATATTGACAAATTAATCTGTTGTAATGGCTAAAGCAATATTAGAAGTTTTTAAAGAATCTCACCATCGCCTATATGTTTGGCATATTTATCAGAATGCTGCCAAAAATTTGAGCCATGTGTTTAACAAATCAAATCAATTTGCTTCTGATTTTGGTACTTGTGTATATGAGTATGATGATGAGGAAAAATGGCTTTATGCATGGAATGATATGATTGAGAACTATGACCTCAAGGGAAATAAGTGGTTCAAGGATTTATTTGCTGTGAAGGAAAAATGGGCATTAATATATGGGAGACACATTTTCACTGCCGACATGATGAGTACCCAACGTAGTGAAAGTATGAATAATGTGTTAAAGAAGTAAACCAAGTCACAGTCTTTTGCATTTCTTTGAGCATTATGAGAGGCTTTTAGAAGATCGACGATATCAGGAATTAATTGCAGATTTCAAGATGACGCAAACTACACCCATATTATTAACTAATGTTGAGATGTTGCGACATGCAGCAAAGATTTACGCCCCAAAAGTTTATAGACTATTCCAAAAGGAGTACATGTGTATCTTGGATAACAATATATACAAAGTTGGCAAGTCTAGGATGACATATGAGTACAAGGTAACTTATAATGGCAAACCTCAAGAGCATTTTGTCAAATTTGAAGCTTTAACAGAAGGAATCACATGTAGTTGCATGAAGTTCAGTTTTGTTAGAATTTTATGTTGTCATGCATTAAAAGTGTTTGACAAGAAGAATATGAAAAGAATCCCACATGATTACATTTTAAAGCGATGGACAAGAGATGCAAAGGGTAGAAGCATAGCTAATTATCGTGGAGGTGAGGGTAGTCACCATGCTAAGGAGTCTATGGGGAAGCATTATAGCCATTTGTGTCGTAATTTTCGTGAGATAGCATCATTGGCAGCAGAACATGAGAAGTTCACAACATATGCTCATGAGTGTTAAGTTGATATGCTAAAAGGTTTGGAAGAAATGAAAAAATGTTTTTGTCAAGATAATACATATACTAATAAAACATTAGAAGGTCAAGCTTCGGTTGGAAAAGTGGAGCAATTGAGCAAGAGGGTCAAATTTTAGATGGTGGATGTGTTTCAAGTGAACAAAAAGGTCAAGCTTTTGATGGTGAAAGTGGTGCAAGCGAGCATAAGGAAATGATACAACTTGATGACAAGTGTGAGATCATAGCACGCTGAGTTAAAAGAAAAGCTACTGTTGGACATCCACGTAGTAGATACAAGGACCTGCTTGAAAGGCGTGGGAAGACACAAACAAAAGCCACGAAATCTTCAACAAGAAAAAGCACCCGCTTGAAGGTACATGTTCTAATTCATCATAAATAAGCTATATATAATATATCATTGTGCCGAGTTATGTGGATTATGTTTTCATTTAGGAATTGTATGTTTTCATTATGAATATAATAGGATTGTGCTCCTTTTAGTGGCAGTTAAAATAAGCAACAGGTTATTCGAATGGATATCCTATGTTCAATGTGCTGACTCAAGTAAGATATCATTTTCATATTTATTTTTGTTTTGTTCACTGTTTGATAAAAAGAAACTCCATATAAAAAAAATATCATGTTTTTAGCAGGGACCCTATATGAATGTTGGAGCCCAAGTATCATTTCCAAGCACAAATATAGCTGCAACTAATATGCACGAAAGTATGCCTTTCACTAATCAACAACTTCTTCAGGTTTAGGTAATTAGTATAATTTAATTACTGTTATATATCGTACAAATGATTTCTATTTATATATGTATAATTTAACAATTATGACATGTTTATATATTTCACTATTATAAGGATCATGTATTGAGAATGGAACTCAAGTACCATTTTTTGGTCCATTTATAAACTCTCATAATAGCATTCTTCATATTCAACAATTCCAGGTAACTAGTGACACACCCCAACCGAAATCAAGGCGTGGCATAAGGAACAGCGTCACCCTGATATTGGTAAGCACCACCACGATCCATCCAACCATAACTACCAGACCCTGGAACTTGCTGGATCGGCGCTGGTGGTGGCAAGGAAGGCTGCTAGGGCCTCTGCTGATTCTGAGGAAAATTTATAGCTCTATGTCCCATTTGCCCACAAGTAAAACATCCATTACTGCCCCACCTACACTCTCCACAGTGCCTATTGTTACATCTGCGGCACAATAGAGCCCTTCCTCTACTAGCATCCCCCTGCCTTTGGAATCTAGGACCCCCAGAAAATCTACCACCTCTTCCCTGACCAGTGGCACTAAAACCCCCACTGGAAGAATTGGAACTAGCTCCACTTCGCTTAAAGCTCTAAGTCTTAGGAGGTCCTTGAGATGATTGACCTTTACCTTTATCATCTTTCTTTTGATTGCCGTCATTTTCTTCTTCTTCACTCTCACTGGGCATATTTTTTGAATCCTCAATCCTCAACAAAATCTCATAGAACTCCTGGTAAGAAGCACAAGGAGTAGTGGTCGCCATAGAACGCCACTTCCCGTTCCACAGTGGAAATGGGAAAACATTACTATGGATTTTGTGTACAAGCTTCCTTGTAAACATAATGGTTATGACGGCATTTGGGTGATAGTTGATCGGCTTACTAAGTCAACACATTTTATTCCAGTGAGGGAGAAGTATTCTTTAAGCCGATTAGCTGAATTATTTATATCGAGATTGTGAAGTATCATGGAGTTCCAATTAGTATTGTCTCGGATTGTGATCCTAGATTTACTTCTAAGTTTTGGGTAGCATTCTAGGAAGCTCTTGGTTCTAGATTACTTTATAGTACAACATATCATCCTCAGACAGATGGACAATTAAAGAGGACTGCTCATACGTTAGAGGATATGCTAAGATCTTCCGTTTTATAGTTTGGTGACGCTTGGCATAAGCGATTGGATTTGATGGAATTTACCTATAACAATAGTTTTCATTCAAGTATTGGTATGACACTATTTAAGGCACTTTATGGCAGATCTTGTTGTATACCTATGTGTTGGTCTGAGGCTGGCGAGAGAGTTTTGGAGGGCCCTGAGATAGTGGAGGAGACTACTCAGAATATTCAGGTGATTAAGTCTAACATAAAACGGCCCAGGATCAACAGAAGAGCTTAGCAGATAAACATGCCACTGATCAGGTGTATAATATAGGTGATTGGGTGTTTCTGAAGTTATCACCGTGGAGAGGTGTTGTACGGTTTGGGAAGAATGGTAAGTTAAGTCCTAGGTATATCAGACCATATGTGATCACTGAGAGAGTCGGTGAAGTTGCTTACAGGCTTGAGTTGCCTCCAGAGTTGTCTAAAGTGCATGATGTGTTCCATGTTTCCATGCTTCGTCATTATGTTTCTGATACGTCGCATGTGATACCTTCTTAACCTTTGGAAATTAATCGAGATTTGACTTATGATGAAGAGCCAGTGAATATTCTGGATTGGAAAGATAAAGTTCTGAGAAATAAGATAGTGCGTTTGGTGAAAGTTTTGTGGAGGAATCACTCTGTGGAAGAGGCTACTTAGGAGATAGATGAGCGTATGAAAGAGATGTATCTGCACTTATTTTATGATTACTAGTGGTTTGTATTTATTGTGTGAATTTCGAGGACGAAATTTTCTTAAGGGGGTAGATTGTGATAGCCTGTCCCGAATTATTTGTATCGACAATGTGAAATGTCTATTTTGCCCTTGAGCATGTTGGTGGTGGTTTGTGTTATTGGGCTAAGGATTTGGACCAATTAAAATCTTTCCTAAGTGTTTGGACTCATTTAGGACTTAAGCTTTTGTTTGTTTTGGTTGGTAGCCCAAACTAGGACCACACACACACACACCCTTAACCTGTGTACCTTTTCTCTCATCCCATTCAAATTTTCTGCAAATTTTGTACAGTTGTACAGACAAACCTCAGACCAATCATTTCATGCATGGATCAAAGATTTGAAGGTTGGTTTTAGACTCCTAGCAATCCCAGGAACTCATCCATACCCTTGGTTGGACGTGAAGCCTTCAAAAACCTGAGAACCAAGAATTCCCGATTTGGTGCACTGTTCATGCAGTCGTGATCGTGGAATTTTCAGTGAGTTTTAAGGTTCTAGGAAGCTTTAGGACGTCTTCACGAAGCTCGAAGAGTAATTTTGAAGTGTTTTGGATGTCATGAAGCTTGAGTTCATCGAGTTGCAGTAGTGGCCGAATTATCGTGGGTTTTTTCGACGAGATCCTATTGGATTCAAGTCCTAAAAGTGGTAAGGTTTTGTTCTACTCATTGTAAGCTTCATTTTGGTACAAATTTCATGAATTTTGGTTGAAAAATGAAGAAGATATGACGATTAGAAGTTTTTCCAGTTTCCGGCGACGCAGACAACGGCCGGTGGCTGGCTGCAGCTCCGACGAGGATCACCGGAGAAGACGACGAATATTCCGTCAACTTTGACGAAATATACTAACGGCGTCAGGTATATTTAACGGTATATTCCATTTTTGGACTTAATATTCCCTAACGCCGTTAGGGTTTCTGTACGTGTGCCAGGCATTTGCCTACACGTGGTCGGCGCGTGAGTGGTTGGAAAATTATTTTTAAAATATGGGGATGTTCATGGTGTTGAGTAGATCACGTTGGTTTATTCAAACACCCCATTTGAGCAATGTTTGAGAAGTTATTAGCTAGTTTCGTTTATGTGCTTTAAATTAACGTTTATATAGTTATTTCGCATATAGGTGAGACTTATCCTCAGGACAAGCATAGTCAATTGAGGCTTGGGGGCTACGACCCTTCCACATATCAGTGAGTGGCTTTTGGTTTTCCGTATATACCTATATACTTGTGATTTTTCCCAGAAAATTGATTTAAATGAAATTATGTTTAGAAATGCCATGCCTAATGATTTATACGTAGATCATTGAATTAATATAGTGTGCATATTGTGATTTGACGC